CGGGGTTAACGGTGCTCCGGTCTGCCTCTGCATTAGAGGCAGACCGGGAGCACCCGATCGGGCTGCCCCAGCACCGGTGCTCGCTCTGACAGCATGTCAGAGCGAGCACATGTGCTCCACATACTCACCTTCCGCCTCCCTGCACTTCCGGGTTCTGTGTGAAGTGCAGGGAGACGGATCAGTGCTGATCTGCTTCCCTGTGTAAAAAAAAAATAAAAATTAAAGTTAAATCCCACCCCCCCTGCCCCTGTTTTAATAAAATTAACCCCTTCCCTGCCAATTGATCACTGACTACAGTGATCAATTGGCAGGGTATACATTTTAATGTCATCTGATTTTTTTTTTTTTTAACCCCTGAGGGTTAATTATTTTTTTTTTAAACCTCAGGGGTTAAATTTATTTTATTAATTAATTTAAATATTAAAAAATTATATATTTAGCTAGCTGGGATGGGTGGAAGTTAGTGGGGAATTGGGGAATTTGGTGTTAGGCTAACTAGGGGTTAACGTTAAAAAAAGTTTTAAAATAAGCTTTAAAAAGGTAAAAAAAAAAATGTTTTTAAATGTTTTAGTAACGTTTAAGTAAAAAAAAAAAAAAATACCACCCCCTTTACCCAGTCTAAATAAAAATTAACCCCTTCCCTGCCAGCTGATCACTGCCTACAGTGATCAAAATACAGATCACAGTATTATACTGTGATCTAATTTTTTTAACCCCTGAGGATTAATTTTTTATTTTTTTTTTTTAACCCTCAGGGGTTCCATTTATTTAATTAATTAATTTAAATATTTTATAATTAAATATTTTGCTAGCTGGGGTGGGTGGGAGTTATGGGAAAATGGGGAATTTACGGTTAGTGCTGCTTACTGCTAGTTAGGAGTTAACGGTAAAAGAAAAGTTTAGAAAAAAAATTAAAAGTGTAAAAAAAGTTAAGATAGTGTAAAACATTTAATAAGTAAAAAAAAAAGTTTAAAAATGAGTTTTACAAAGTAAAAAAATACATTTAAAAATGCTCATTACCACTACACTTGGTACAAGCTAGCGGAAATATTATCCCACGCTAAGGTTCAAAATATGCCTTTTGAATTACCCTGGGATGTCTTCTTTAAGAAATGATATGCCTTTATGGTGTAATTGGATGATATAGCCTTGTAAAATACTCTAAAATGGGACATGGACACAGCGTAAAATTCAAAGTTTGGAAAAAACTGGAATGGCTGTGTCTCAAATGTGCCCCTTCAATGTCCACATATACCTGGCAAAGGTACATACGGGGGTATTGATGTACTCAGCCGACATAGCTGAGCAACATATGAAGTAGTATACAGTCGTAGTACACATAAGGTTTGCAAAATATACTGCGCAAACTCACTTTGTGTGTCAAAAAGGCAGAGAAAATGCTTATTACCACTACACTTGGTACAAGCTAGCGGAAAAATTATCCCACGCTAAGGTTCAAAATAGGCCTTTTGAATTACCCCGAGATGTCTTCTTTAAGAAATGGTATGCCTTTATGGTGTAATTGGATTATATAGCCTTTTAAAATACTCTAAAATGGGACATGGACACAGCGTAAAAATTCAAAGTTTGAAAAAAATGGATTGGCTGTGTCTCAAATGTGCCCCTTCAATGTCCACATAAACCTGGCAAAGGTACATACGGGGGTATTGATGTACTCAGCCGACATAGCTGAGCAACATATGAAGTAGTATACAGTCGGAGTACACATAAGGTTTGCAAAATATACTGCGCAAACTCACTTTGTGTGTCAAAAAGGCAGAAAAAATGCTTATTACCACTACACTTGGTACAAGCTAGAGGAAAAATTATCCCACGCTAAGGTTCAAAATATGCCTTTTGAATTACCCCGGGATGTCTTCTTTAAGAAATGGTATGGCTTTATGGGTTATTTGGATTATATAGCCTGGTAAAATACTCTAAAATGGGACATGGGAACAGTGTAAAAATTTAAAGTTTGAAATGAACTGGAATGGCTGTGTCCCAAATGTGCCCCTCCGATGTCCACATATACCTGGCAAAGGTACATACGGGGGTATTGCTGTACTCAGCCGACATAGCTGAGCAACATATGAAGTATTATACAGTCATAGCACACATAAGATTTGCAAAATATGCTGCGCAAACTCACTTTGTATGTCAAAAAGGCAGAAAAAATGCTTATTACCACTACACTTGGTACAAGCTAGCGGAAAAATGATCCCACGCTAAGGTTCAAAATATGCCTTTTGAAATACCCTGGGATGTGTTCTTTAATAAATGGTATGCCTTTATGGTGTAGTTTTAATATGTAGCCTGCTCAAGTGCTCCAAAGTGGGACACAGACGCATCAAAACCCTCCATGAAAATTCACACTTAAAAACCTTAAAGGACCACTATAGTGCCCTGAGGGTGCCCCCACCCTCAGGGACTCCCTCCCGCCCGGCTCTGGAAAGGGGTTAAAACTTGCCTTTCTCCAGCGCTGGGCGGGGAGCTCTCCTCCTCCGATCCTCCCATTCGGCTGAATGTGCGCGCGCATTCAGCCGGTCTCATAGGAAAGCATTTGCAATGCTTTCCTATGGACGCTTGCGTCTTCTCACTGTGATTTTCACATTGAGAATCACGCAAGCGCCTCTAGCGTCTGTCAATGAGACAGCCGCTAGAGGAATTGGAGGAAGGATTAACCCATTTATAAACAGCAGTTTCTCTGAAACTGCTAGGTTTATAAAAAAATGGGTTAGCCCTAGCTGGACCTGGCACCCAGACCACTTCATTAAGCTGAAGTGGTCTGGGTGCCTAGAGTGGTCCTTTAACGTGTCACATCTCTTTTACAGCAGTGTAACTTCAAAAAATAGTGTCTAGGTCATACATTGGGCATATTGTGTTACTCCGAAGACTTAGCGGCACATATGAAATGTACAAAATGCCCAGCAAAAATGTAATCTGTATGTAAAAAATGCCCAAAATTATTTTTTACCACATACTTTGGCATATATTGGTTGAAAAATGGGGGCATGTTAAGGCACAATATGCACCTTATAAGATACCCTGGAGTGTCTACCTTTACAAATGGTAGGCCTTTGTGGGTTTTTCTTTTGAACAGTCAAACTGCTATAATACCCCAAATTGAAGCATAGGCCCATTAAATCCGCCTCAAAATGCTACTGTAAATGTTGAAACGGACAGGTCACCTATATGGCACTGTAGCTTCACGAAATAGTGCCAAAGACATACAATGGGGGTATTGTTGTACCGAGCAGAAGTAACTGAACACAAAATAAAACTTTGTACAGGAATAGCGCACACCAACTTTACAAAATACACATGAGAAGTTCTTTGATATAAGTTTGTGTGTCAAAAACCCCCAAAAACTAAATTTTACTCCAATATTTAGCAGAGATTGGTGGTGAAATGGCTACATAGAAAGTGTCAAAACAACCTTAAGTAAATAGCCTGTGATGTCTACTTTATATAAATATATACTTTTGTGTGGCAATTTTGTTTTCTTTTATGGCTATTAAGCTTACAAGACAAACATACAAAATTCTAAAATCGCTCTACATTAAAAAAGTTTATTTTACTCCTTGTGCTTTATGACCTGTAACTACCAAAAAAAACTTTAAATCCCAGACACATTATATATTTTGTAAATCAGAACAACTAAATAAATTTATTTTTAATTACTTTCTTTAACCTGCACTAATTAGGCACACATTATTATTGCAAAAAACTGTACAAAAAACACAAAATTTTTCTTTTTTTTGCATTTTTCTGTATTTTTTAAATAATAAATAAGCATTTATATATATATATGTTACATCAAATTAAAGCCCTTTATGTCCTTTAAAAAACAGTATATAATATGTGTCGGTGCAAAAAAACGAGAGAGATGCAAATTGCAGTTGAACGCATACAGCAAGAAAATGCAAAAATTGCTTGTGTCATTAAGCGTAAGACAAGCTTCTGAAGCTGTGTCCTTAAGGGGTTAATAAAAGTATTTGTTTTTGACTACCTATATACCTTGGTTAGTCGCTCTACTTTTATTTTATATATATATATTTCCATTTACTTTTCACCTGGCACATATTACCATATGGAGTTCCAGTACCATAATCCAAAGAATCCAAAGGTGGGGATTGTTCCATCCAAGCTTGGTTCACGGAGCGGTTTGTCTGCTCTGAAAATTATAAGTACATTTATTTTATCTAGCACTTTTGTTTATAGAGAGCACTATGGGCCTTCTCATGATTTTATTTCATGTGATCTATACTGCAAAATACAATCAGAAGAATATCCTACATGTGGGGAGTGTAAATACCACTGTACGCTGTTTTACCTGGAGCTGGTTATAGCTCTCACAAATATGAGTTGGCAACCTTAGTGTTGTTTGTGGCCATACTCCTATATGTTACTGCACCATTGGTCCCTCTGTTTTCTTTTTTTCATATGCTGCTGAGGATTTGACTCAAGACGTCTTATGAATTCCAGAAGAAATACATTTGCTACCTAGAGACTTTCTTTGCTTGTTTTGGGTACCTTTTGATACTTTTAAATTTTGTCTTATTTGGCGCACCCTGTACTAGCAGTTTTCTGTCTTCACACTATTCCCATGTCTCCATTGTCCTAACTAGACATGCAAAGGAAATCTGGATATTCAAGATCTATTGCATTTTGTGTGAGAAAACCTACTAGCTACAAGCGGTCAATGATAGTGGCAGCTGGCGCTCTCTCAGCCAATCACCAGGTGCCCAGCCAATACTTCCCTTTAACTACAGCAGCCAAAAGGGAAGACAGTGTAACGGATGGCATTGGGCTGTCCTAAAAAGTGCATTTATGTCTATGTATTCGGTTGAATTGTAACCTGTATATGTGAAGTATATGTAGCATTCAACTGATTGTTCGGTAAAATCACTCCAGTTACTATGCGAACAAAACTATCGCACAATCAGACCACCCAGGTACTAAGTGTGCCTCCAATTACTGTTCGCAACAATGTTGCAAACGGGTAATTGGCGGTTTGTGTAGTGGGCCCTTTGTTCTCTGGGTGGCTGCCATTCGGGAGACGAACACGTGGCGGCGGCCATTTTAAACTCCCCAACAGCGGTGTTTTGCCGTCGAGTGTCTGGAACCCAAATCAGACACTCGCTCAGGCAAACACCGCTGAGACCTCCACACTGCCGCCAATTCGTATACAAACTACCGAACGGCTTCTTGTTCGGTAGTTTGAATCCCAAGAACAAGGAAAATTACATGAAACCTCCCCAGCTCTCCTAACATAAGTTATTCGTTTGTTACATTCCCTTTTCTGTGACCGACCGCAGGGCCAAAACACATGGAGCCCTTTTCGGCTGGTAAACCCAGTGCGGTCGGTCATTTTAGTACTTCCATAAATTTCCCGAACCCCTGGTCCGATCTGGGTGATTTTTGGATATGTGTCTCACCCATATCAGGGCTACCTGGGGATGTAACATTTAAAGGGATACCCCTATGTTTAGGGGTACATCCAGAAACTCTGGGAATATGTGTACTGCATAAGGGAATATGTCACACTAAGGGGAGGGGATGTGTGGGTGGCAACTCGTGGAGGATTGGCTACTGTACTAATTATTGCAAATCCTTCCTTTGCATGGGAGAATGCTTTATAAGGAAGTTGTGTGCATTAAAAGTCAGTTCTGCTCCTGATGCTGTGTGTCATCCAGTCATTGGGATCTGTATACAGATATTCGTGGATTACCTTGCTTGCTGGAATTATTACTGTATGGTATTTTTACTACTTGTTCCTGAGCCTCACTGGGATCTCTAGTGGCGTTAACATGGGGAATACCAGGCCTCCGCTACAGACAGAATGCAGCATGATGTCACAATGGGACACATTTTGGTATGGTTAAAGAAGGTGCCAAGGGAAAAGTTGGTAGGGGGACAGAGTGGCCTTCTGAGGAGTTCTATATCTACTATTTTGGCTTAGATTTTATAGTCAATTTTTTCAATTCTCTATAATTCAGTATATGTTTAAATAAACACCTTCCCCCTATCCTTACACTGTAAATAAGACACACAGACATATTGGGGAGGCCAAATTATTTATATTTATTTTAACATAGTCAATTGGTAAGTGGGGAAGATTTTCAGTATCATAGGTTCAGTGGCAAGTTTAAAAAAAAAAAAAATTAATTCACAATTTTATTAGTAATTAAGAAGACTGTAATGCCAATACTCAGTCCAATTTTAATTTTGCTCAGAAAACTAAACTAAAAAAATAAAATAAAAAAAACAGTGCTGTCAGATACAGTAAAATTGACTGTTCTGTTCCATAAAGACTTGTAGGATGAGATACTGAAATATTTTTGTTTAATTTGAAATCAAGTTTTAGCAGTTCCGTTGGCAACACTGCAAAGCTGATCCAAAACAAAGTGTAGTCTTTTATTCATTCTTGGTCCCTGTAGTAGCTGAATAGCAATCTCCTTTCTGGATATTGACAAAAATCTCAAGTATTTTCAAAGGCAGGTCTTTCATAGTCATTTTATCTTGCTGCACATTAGCATTATGACTTTACATTTAAAAAAACTCAGCTCGTCAGGTCAAAATACATAGTTTCATAACAAAACTAAAAATTTACTTGGAGTATAAACATGGATATACACATATTACACTGTGTACACTATTTACACAACCATACAAAATATAATACTAGACATCTGTACACATGTAAAATTCAAATTTACTTTCTTACAAAAATGAAAGTTCAGAGTTTTTGCAAGATTCAGTTAAGGTGAATGTGTGGATTGTAGAAGGATTATAACTGGACTTTCAGTAAGGTTTTCAGTTGATATGTCATGAGCTCCTTACACTGGTCAGACTCTTGACCCTTCATTCCCATCCAGTGACTTGGGGGTTTTGGAAGGACACTCGGGGAAGGAGGATCACTAAATTTTGCTCCTGCATAATTTATTTCCTTGTCAATTCGGCCTGTGGGAAAGAAATCAGTTTTTGCTTTAAGATTCCTTAGATTTTCAGCACTGGCTAAGGGTTTCTTATTTGAACTTCGAAATGAATGATTGGCGATATCTGATTCTGGCTGAAATTTTTCAGTTTTTCTCGGATAATTGGACTTTGTGTGTTGAATATAACATTTGCCTTTCTGTTTGTGAAGGCTCCGTTGTTCACATCGCTGAGTTGAAGGACTGTGGGAAGAGATACTCTTATCAGATTGTTTTAACTTTTTGTCAGACTTTACTACCTTCGTTTTTAATACCTGTATTATAAAAAAAAAAAAAAAAAAAAGGGAAATTTCAGTAACGGCTCAGAAGTATTTTTATGCTTTTAATTTTTCTCAACTCCCCCATAAAAGTAACCAGTAATAACAGAGATATAACAGATTTTACTTTAGATCCTAAAATGTTGGCTAAGCTACTGTATTAGCAATAGCATGGATAGCATAATACTTTAGTGAAAAGCTATTTTGAACATGGCAACTTACGCCTATAAAACCAGTTGCTACCAAGCTCTGTTCATTGCATTGTATGATGATGATGATACACTGAGGTCTCAGGAGTATAGGGCTTACTGTGGCACATGGCAAAACTCATGACACTGCCAAAAGATAGTGTTCATGCCATGGACAGGATGAGGAGTAGATTTACATAAAAAGGTAACTCTTTAAGAGCTAAAACAATTGGCTAATTTAGTAACAAAAATAAATCTAGAACAATGACAAAGACGTGTCATTATGTAAACTGTTTGCATTGCAGCACTAAGACTGCCTCTAGTGGATGTCTACTTGATAGCCACTAGAGGCGCTTCTGGGAAATTACTGGACTCAGGACGCTCTGCATGATGACATCCAGCATCATTAAAAATCTCCACAGTCACGCATTGACTCAAATGAGTGTGTGACTCAATGCAGCGCAGTATTTAGCGCGAGGCTTACAAGGCACTTTGGGGCGGGGGGAGCAAAAAAACCAAAACACACCCCCAAGCGCCTTGCCAGCCTCTTGCCCTGGGGGACCAGAGAGCTGGCCACCACAAGACCCTCCCCTCACCCCCCCGAGGCTGGCATCTCCCCTCCTGACCGCAGTGATGCCAAAGCAAGGATAAGACGTCACTCCGGCATCACTGAGAGGTGCGCGCGAGTGAGCAGGAGGATCAGAGCTCCCTCTCTGCCTGAACTCTGCCCCTGTCTCCTCGACTGCCTGCCAGCCCAGCCCCGCTGGACCACAGGGAAAAATCCAAAATGTAAGCAAAAAAAATTGTTTGTGTGTCTGTGCCTGTCACTGAGTGTGTGTGTGTGTGCCAGAATTGGGGGGAAATTGCTTTGATCACCGGACAAGCTCCTCCACCGTGACAAGCAGGCTATATTGCGCATCTGCGGCAAATGCCTCGCTTGCATTAAACCACCCAGTGCTCGCAAAAGCAGACCTGGTGGAGACCTGGTGGAGCTAGAGCTCTTGGATCTCCTCCCTTCCCTGCCGGCAATGTGCCTGTGGACCGGTGAGTGAGATCTCTGAGACAGCATTGGGGGAATTGCGGCGCCGTGGCCTACGGCTGCAGGCTCACACGTCAGCCCAGATCCCCAGCAGCAGATTGATTTGCAGGGAATAGAGAGCCGTGTCTCCTTTCCCCAGCGGCAGTGTACCTTGCAGGGAGAGGAGAGCAGTGTCCTCCCTCCCCAGCGGCAGGGTGAGCTACAGGGATGCTGGGCGATCCGCTCAGATCCCCAGCGGCAGTGTGAATTGCAGGGAATTGGGAGCCCAGTCTCCATTCCCCAGCGGCAGGCTGTGTTACAGGGGACAGAGATAGTTGCTCCTGTCCCCCAGCAGCAGAGTAAATTGCAGGGAATTGGGAGCCCAGTCTCCATTCCCCAGCGGTAGTATGAGTTATTGAGGTTCGCCATTGCTGCACTAGAGGCTGACTTAGTGCTGCAATGTGACCATTGTTTAACATTGCAGCACCAAATGCACTAGGTACCCAGACCACTTCAATGAGAAGAGTGCCTACAGTGTCCCTTTAAGTAATATTGTTTTATATTTAATAACACCTGACACTGGCAGCCTGGTGTACGTCCAGTGCTTCACTATGACAAGCGCTGAATTGGAGGATTGGAGCAATAGCTGCTTACGTGTCTATAATGCTATTCTATTGGGTTATGAGCTATGGGTAGGCACACACAAAAAGACCCTCTTTGCACCTCCAGCCTACAGTTGATCACACTCCCAATATCAAAAATATATGACTGGACTCAGGTATGAGGTAGGATCCAAGGGCAGCTTTAACAGATATCATACCATATACTTATAGATGGGTGTAAGATAAAATAGGGACTGCACATTACGGAAGTGTAGTGCACAACAGCTAGAACTGTAAAGAGGTTATCAACACTATAATGTTGAATGGCAACCTTACAAATGAGGTTATACACAGTAACAAATACAAGGTCTCATGGTGAACATTTCAGCATGTACACTACAAAGGTACAAGGGGAAAATGCAGAGCTGCACTGCATCATACACCTAGACTGGAAGTGATATCATGGGAAGTGAACACTGGTTTTGTAAAATGGCAACAATACAAATGCATGTAACAGAAAGCTTTCATAATAAAAACAAACTGTAAACTTTGGTGTATTGTAGGATTTAGAGGCACAAATGGTACATGTCCAGGGTGCCAACATGTAGATGTGCACCCATTCTTAGGCGAAATGTGGAGGCACAGGCACAAAATGTTGAAATGTAGTTGTGCATGCAGAAGTTATAAAACTGAACACCGGGGTGAACACATGCATTGTAAAAAATAGTTGTACTTGACCCATTGTACAGCGCTACGGAATGTGATGGCGCTATATAAATAAAAAAAAAATAACATTGTGATGTATGGGCTGATGCATTCACATGTCTGAGATAGGTGTTGTTGCAAGCATGCCAAAGTTATGGGGGTGTTTGCAGGTATTTCAGAGGTACAGTGGTGCATGCATTGGTTCATAGGCATGCGCTGCATTAAGTGCATGCGGCTTAGAGATACAGGGTTGCATGCATGTTTACAATCAAGTTTCATGCATTTCAAGCTGTTCAGCTGTGCTGATCATATGCATGCAGTTTTGCTGCATGCCGTTTAGAAAGGGCTGCCGGGGTGCGTTTTGGGGGAATGCCGGGGTGCGGGCACTGTTTGTGGGAATGCCGGGGTGTGGGCACTGTTTGTGGGAATGCCGGGGTGCGGGCACTGTTTGTGGGAATGTTGGGGTGCGGGCACTGTTTGTGGGAATGTTGGGGTGCGGGCACTGTTTGGGGGAGTGCCGGGGTGCAGTCACTGTTTGGGGGAGTGCCGGGGTGCAGTCACTGTTTGGGGGAATGTTTGGGTGCAGTCACTGTTTGGGGGAATGTTTGGGTGCAGTCACTGTTTGGGAATGTTGGGGTGCAGTCACCGTTTGTGGGAATGTTGGGTTGCAGTCACTGTTTGGGGGAGTGCTGGGATGCAGTAAGTGTCCCCCAGGGTCACAGCACCCACCTCTCTCCGCAGCTGTCGGTAGTGGGTGGTCCTGCCTGGGTCCCCAGTCCCCGAGCTCGGTGGCGCACAGTCACGGTTCGGCTCCCCGGCTCGGGTCTGGTGATGCTGATGGTGTCGGGTAGGGAATGGGGTGGCCCTCACTTTGTTCTTTCTCCCCCTCCTGCGGCCACCCCTGGCTCTGCTCAGCCCAGCTCCGGCCTGCCGCCCCCCTCCTCCCTCTCCGGGCTCCGACATGGTGCCAGGGTACCCGGAAACCCGTCTCCGCCAGAGCCTCGGTGTGCCCTAACCCGTCTGCCCAGTCTTCCTTCCTGTCAGAGTAATGTCCTGCTCTGTGCCCGAGCGGCCGCTCAGCTCTCCAGGATAAAGGCTGTCAGTGTTACAAGATGGCGGTCTGGAACCCGCCGCCTCCGAATGTTTGTGTTTGGAACTAAGAGCGCGCTCCCGATAGGCAGCTGTGCGCGGCCCCGACACTGGCACAACGTGTCTCATACAGAACACAACATACACACACAGCATACAGCATGGACTGCACCATGCAACAATATATACAGCATACAGCATGGACTGCACCATGCAATAATATATACAGCATGGACTGCACCATGCAATAATATATACAGCATGGACTGCACCATGCAATAATATATACAGCATACAGCATGGACTGCACCATGCAATAATATATACAGCATGCAGCATGCACTGCACCATGCAATAATATATACAGCATGGACTGCACCATGCAATAATATATACAGCATGCAGCATGCACTGCACCATGCAATAATATATACAGCATACAGCATGCACTGCACCATGCAATAATATATACAGCATGGACTGCACCATGCAATAATATATACAGCATACAGCATGCACTGCACCATGCAATAATATATACAGCATACAGCATGCACTGCACCATGCAATAATATATACAGCATGGACTGCACCATGCAATAATATATACAGCATACAGCATGGACTGCACCATGCAATAATATATACAGCATGGGCTGCACCATGCAATAATATATACAGCATACAGCATGGACTGCACCATGCAATAATATATACAGCATACAGCATGGACTGCACCATGCAATAATATATACAGCATGGACTGCACCATGCAATAATATATACAGCATACAGCATGGACTGCACCATGCAATAATATATACAGCATACAACATGGACTGCACCATGCAATAATATATACAGCATGCACTGCAGCATGCAATAATATATACAGCATGGACTGCACCGTGCAATAATATATACAGCATACAGCATGGACTGCACCATGCAATAATATATACAGCATGCACTGCGCCATGCAATAATATATACAGCATACAGCATGGACTGCACCATGCAATAATATATACAGCATTGACTGCACCATGCAATAATATATACAGCATACAGCATGGACTGCACCATGCAATAATATATACAGCATACAACATGGACTGCACCATGCAATAATATATACAGCATGCACTGCAGCATGCAATAATATATACAGCATGGACTGCACCGTGCAATAATATATACAGCATACAGCATGGACTGCACCATGCAATAATATATACAGCATGGACTGCATGTGCAATAATATATACAGCATACAGCATGGACTGCACTGTGCAACAATATATACAGCATACAGCATGCACTGCACCATGCAATAATATATACAGCATACAGCATGCGCTGCACCATGCAATAATATATACAGCATACAGCATGCGCTGCACCATGCAATAATATATACAGCATGGACTGCACCGTGCAATAATATATACAGCATGGACTGCACCGTGCAATAATATATACAGCATACAGCATGGACTGCACCATGCAATAATATATACAGCATACAGCATGGACTGCACCGTGCAACAATATATACAGCATACAGCATGCACTGCACCATGCAATAATATATATATACAGCATGCGCTGCACCATGCCATAATATATACAGCATACAGCATGCGCTGCACCATGCATTAATATATACAGCATGGACTGCACCATGCAGTAATATATACAGCATGCACTGCAACATGCAATAATATATATCACATGCACTGCGCCATGCAATAATATATACAGCATACAGCATGGACTGCACCATGCAATAATATATACAGCATACAGCACGGACTGCACCATGCAATAATATATACAGCATACAGCATGGACTGCACCATGCAATAATATATACAGCATGCACTGCACCATGCAATAATATATACCGCATGCACTGCACCATGCAATAATATATACAGCATGGACTGCACCATGCAATAATATATACAGCATACAGCATGGACTGCACCATGCAATAATATATACAGCCTACAGCATGCGCTGTACCATGCAATAATATATACAGCATACAGCATGCGCTGCACCATGCAATAATATATACAGCATACAGCATGGACTGCACCATGCAATAATATATACAGCATACAGCATGGACTGCACCATGCAATAATATATACAGCATGGACTGCACCATGCAATAATATATACAGCATACAGCATGGACTGCACGTGCAATAATATATACAGCATACAGCATGGACTGCACTGTGCAACAATATATACAGCATACAGCATGCACTGCACCATGCAATAATATATACAGCATACAGCATGCGCTGCACCATGCAATAATATATACAGCATACAGCATGCGCTGCACCATGCAATAATATATACAGCGAGGACTGCACCATGCAATAATATATACAGCATACAGCATGCACTGCACCATGCAATAATATATACAGCATACAGCATGGACTGCACCATGCAATAATATATACAGCATGCAGCATGCACTGCACCATGCAATAATATATACAGCATGGACTGCACCATGCAATAATATATACAGCATGCACTGCGCCATGCAATAATATATACAGCATGGACTGCACCATGCAATAATATATACAGCATACAGCATGGACTGCACCATGCAATAATATATACAGCATGGACTGCACCATGCAATAATATATACAGCATACAGCATGGACTGCACCATGCAATAATATATACAGCATACAGCATGGACTGCACCATGCAATAATATATACAGCATTGACTGCACCATGCAATAATATATACAGCATACAGCATGGACTGCACCATGCAATAATATATACAGCATACAACATGGACTGCACCATGCAATAATATATACAGCATGCACTGCAGCATGCAATAATATATACAGCATGGACTGCACCGTGCAATAATATATACAGCATACAGCATGGACTGCACCATGCAATAATATATACAGCATGGACTGCATGTGCAATAATATATACAGCATACAGCATGGACTGCACTGTGCAACAATATATACAGCATACAGCATGCACTGCACCATGCAATAATATATACAGCATACAGCATGCGCTGCACCATGCAATAATATATACAGCATACAGCATGCGCTGCACCATGCAATAATATATACAGCATGGACTGCACCGTGCAATAATATATACAGCATGGACTGCACCGTGCAATAATATATACAGCATACAGCATGGACTGCACCATGCAATAATATATACAGCATACAGCATGGACTGCACCGTGCAACAATATATACAGCATACAGCATGCACTGCACCATGCAATAATATATATATACAGCATGCGCTGCACCATGCCATAATATATACAGCATACAGCATGCGCTGCACCATGCATTAATATATACAGCATGGACTGCACCATGCAATAATATATACAGCATGCACTGCAACATGCAATAATATATATCACATGCACTGCGCCATGCAATAATATATACAGCATACAGCATGGACTGCACCATGCAATAATATATACAGCATACAGCACGGACTGCACCATGCAATAATATATACAGCATACAGCATGGACTGCACCATGCAATAATATATACAGCATGCACTGCACCATTGGGGGAATGCCGGGGTGCGGGCACTGTTTGTGGGAATGCCGGGGTGTGGGCACTGTTTGTGGGAATGCCGGGGTGCGGGCACTGTTTGTGGGAATGTTGGGGTGCGGGCACTGTTTGTGGGAATGTTGGGGTGCGGGCACTGTTTGGGGGAGTGCCGGGGTGCAGTCACTGTTTGGGGGAGTGCCGGGGTGCAGTCACTGTTTGGGGGAATGTTTGGGTGCAGTCACTGTTTGGGGGAATGTTTGGGTGCAGTCACTGTTTGGGAATGTTGGGGTGCAGTCACCGTTTGTGGGAATGTTGGGTTGCAGTCACTGTTTGGGGGAGTGCTGGGATGCAGTAAGTGTCCCCCAGGGTCACAGCACCCACCTCTCTCCGCAGCTGTCGGTAGTGGGTGGTCCTGCCTGGGTCCCCAGTCCCCGAGCTGCACCATGCAATAATATATACAGCATACAGCATGCGCTGCACCATGCAATAATATATACAGCATGGACGCACCGTGCAATAATATATACAGCATGGACTGCACCGTGCAATAATATATACAGCATACAGCATGGACTGCACCATGCAATAATATATACAGCATACAGCATGGACTGCACCGTGCAACAATATATACAGCATACAGCATGCACTGCACCATGCAATAATATATACAGCATGCGCTGCACCATGCCATAATATATACAGCATACAGCATGCGCTGCACCATGCATTAATATATACAGCATGGACTGCACCATGCAGTAATATATACAGCATGCACTGCAACATGCAATAATATATATCACATGCACTGCGCCATGCAATAATATATACAGCATACAGCATGGACTGCACCATGCAATAATATATACAGCATACAGCACGGACTGCACCATGCAATAATATATACAGCATACAGCATGGACTGCACCATGCAATAATATATACAGCATGCACTGCACCATGCAATAATATATACCGCATGCACTGCACCATGCAATAATATATACAGCATGGACTGCACCATGCAATAATATATACAGCATACAGCATGGACTGCACCATGCAATAATATATACAGCCTACAGCATGCGCTGTACCATGCAATAATATATACAGCATACAGCATGCGCTGCACCATGCAATAATATATACAGCATACAGCATGGACTGCACCATGCAATAATATATACAGCATACAGCATGGACTGCACCATGCAATAATATATACAGCATGGACTGCACCATGCAATAATATATACAGCATACAGCATGGACTGCACGTGCAATAATATATACAGCATACAGCATGGACTGCACTGTGCAACAATATATACAGCATACAGCATGCACTGCACCATGCAATAATATATACAGCATACAGCATGCGCTGCACCATGCAATAATATATACAGCATACAGCATGCGCTGCACCATGCAATAATATATACAGCGAGGACTGCACCATGCAATAATATATACAGCATACAGCATGCACTGCACCATGCAATAATATATACAGCATACAGCATGCACTGCACCATGCAATAATAT